ATTCACGCATGCGAATGCGCGCAGCGCGGAGACGTGAATTCGAGCATGCGAGGGCGAACCGTTAGGCCGTATAGCCGGCTGCGTAATTGTAACCAGTAAGAACGTTGGACGATCTTGAATTCGAAGAAGAAAAGACTGCTCTCCAATCTCATTCTCTCATTCTTGATTTTGAGATTTCCAGCTTCCAAGATTACACGCAAGGGCGGAGAGACCTGCAGTGAGAGGAGAGAGTGCGGAGACGAGTTACGCAAGGATCTTGACAGACCTTGCAGAGAATTTGCGAGTAGCGAACTTGAGCGCGCAAGAGAAGAGAGAGCGATTGCAGTAAGTGTTTGAGCGGCCGACGCGCACCGGCGATTGTGAGAGAGCGAGCGGAAGGGAGAAACGTCTGTGTGTGCAGGAAATGCAATGTCGAAGGTCCCCCAGCTGCGAGTATCTCCACTAAGAGTGCCGCAGATCGGTCTGTGCGCATTCCAAGATGTGCTAACAAGGCTGAAGCTCGATTTCCTCCTGTGGGGATGGAACTGGACATGTCCGGAGATGGTGCGCGAGTATCTGCAGGAGAGACACAAGCCCTCGCGCGGATTCCGCCCACATCCAGAGAGGTGGGACATTTGTGACTGGGCGCAGGTGTTGGGCAGGTGTGCCGGCGAGGAAGGGTTTCTCCTCTTCGAGGCTGATAGCGTGAAGGTGTCCAAGGAGGAAGAAATCTCCTACAATGATCTTTTCAAAGTTGCCAGGCATCCCAAGAACGGTTTCCGGACACGGGATTACAAAGATCGATTGCGGAGAAATGTCGCGACTGTATTGCTGCAGATATTGCAGCCGACCAAGACCGCTTACATGCATGGTTGGCAAGTAGGATTTGTGGAGCTAGTGTTGTCAGGAGCTCCAGTTCATTGGGCACGGGTCCTGTGGAAGGTGACGCGCCAACATGCGCAAGAAGAGAGAGGAGGAACCCTCAATCATCTTTCGCCCTACCTGATTGTGTTTTATCGGGCGATGGGATGTTTGACAAATTCAGAACGGACACGGTTTCCGCTGCTGACCCGGAGTTATCTAGGTAGATACTTGCGGGAGGCCGAAGTAGACACGGATCCGGACGAGGCACCTGCTAGTCCAACTCCGGCTCCGCCTCCAGCAAGAGCAGCAGAAGAGCGTCGAAGTGAGCGCGCTCCGCGAAAGCAGAAATGGGATGAGAGACCTGAGGACAGGCAGCCGGAAGCTCCAGCTGCGCCGACTCGGAGTCGGCCAACCAACGAGCCTCACAGCCGGCCGAAACAGAGGGCACGCAAAGTGCCAACTAGTACTGAGGAGACCGGGCGTACTCCGGTCCGGCGGAGTATCCTGCCCACGCAGGAGGAGATAATCGCGCAGATTCTGAAAAAGTCGGCAAACACATCTGCGCAGAAGGCACCTATGCCTTCAGAAGAAGACAGGCGGACTGACAGTCGGCCGACTGCGAGTCGGGCGACTGAAGGTCGGCAAACGGAAGGAAGGCCGACTGAGCAGCGCGTTGAACCGGATAGCAGGCCGGAAGCAGAAGGGAGTTTGGCTGACGAGCCAACAACCCTCAGAGGGTCGTCTTCGGCAGAAGGCGCTTATGGGAAAACGCCGGCAGCAAGCAGGCCAAGTGGAGTGAAGACGCGCAGAGTAGATCCGACTGCTTGTCGGACAACTGCGAGTCGGTCAACTGAAGGTCGGCCAGATTCGCCGACTGCGAGACGGACAGAGCCGGCGACCATTGTGCGGGCGCCTTCGGCGGACGCACCTCCGGCGAAGACACCTTCCGCGCAGATCGCGCCGGAAGAGCAGGCAGCAGAAGCGGGCGGTGCAAAGGTGACAAACGTCACTGTGGCGTCGACCCCTTCGAGAACCGAAGATCGAGCCGGAACAGGGGCTCAAGCAGTGGGATACCCCACTGCCTTGGATATTTTAGCAGGGAGTGGAGCGGCAGTCGCGGCGGAAGCTGCCGCGCGCCACAGTTCTAGGGAGTTCGGTGGCGACTGAAATCCTCGAAACGGAGGATGAGACGAGTTCGGAAGAGCAGGAAGCGGACTCTGTGCAGAAGACGCCAACAGGGGTACTGTGCGAGCAGATAGTTCCACTCCTGCGATATTTGGATCGCAAGACATCCAAGTACTCGGGTTCCGGAAAACCGCAGTCTTACGTGGAGACTGTCAAGCGCAGGACGAGGAGCAAGGTGGCCACTTGGGCCTCTAGGTGCCAAACATTGCAGGATAGGAACACTGCCTCCGACAGCACCTGGCGATCACGCAGAAGCTATACCAAACCCTGCAACAACAGGAGGAGGATGCGGCGACGAAAGACCAGGCGGATGCCGAGCTAATGCGGGCAAAGACCGAGTCGGAGTTGCAGGAAGAGCGGAGACAAAACCGCATCTTAATAGAAGAGCTTGCGCGCCAGAAGCGCGCATTAGAAGAAAGTCAAAGTACACGCAAGGAGTATGAGGAGTTGTTGCGCAACTTGCAATCCGAGTGCGCGGATTTGAGGGCGCAGCGCGCAGATGCGGAAATGCAGCTAGCGGAGGTGGAAGGCAGCTGCCGGACGCGAGAAGAGTTGGCGACGCGGGTGACTCACTGTCTAAAAGGATACGCCCATTGGGAGCTGGCAGCTCAAGAGAAGATCACACTCAGGGAGTTTGAGCTTCGGGCGGCGGCATTGACGGAGGGTGACAGTCGGAGTCGGCGGCGAGTAGCAAGGAAATTAGACGCAAGCGAAAGACGTAAATTGCTAACGTTAGCAAAAAAACAAGAATGGGGCATCAGAAAAAAACTGAGAGTCAACAGGGACTTAAGAAAAGACCTCAAGCGCAGGGGCTTCTTGTCGGGTGTGCGCGACACTTTGGCGCACTTAGAATCGGAGGTGACTGCAGCCCTTCGACGACTGGGGTTGCGCAGCCGGTCGGAAGATTGGCAAGGTAGAGATAGAGAGCGAGGCAGTCCGGCGCGCAGGAGGCGCAGCACCGAATCTGCAGAGTGCAGTAGCGTAGTTTGGTTTCGTGCAGGTGTTGCGAGTAGCAGATAGGATAGCGTAGTGTTAGTTAGGACCTTAGAGGGTATAAAGTAGATCAAGGCGTTTAGCCTTGGGACTCTTCCAGTTGCGGAAGTGCAGATCAGGAACTCACTTTCTTGGCGTGTTTGTGCATTTGGTCCTCGCACCACGTAGAGAAGCTGCAGCCTAGCGAAGTTACCGTATGTTGTAGCTGAAGGCCTTCGGCTGAATGTTCAGAGCTAGTACCCGATTAGAGACTTGAGTAGTGCGGATCTGCACCTGCGGGTGATTTCTGATGCTCAGAGCCGGCTGCGAGTTAGAGACTTGAACAGTTCCCCCTTACTCCTTCGAGTGACATATCCTGATTGTACTCCTACGGGAAGTTTCCCCTGAATGCCAAAGTGAAGTTTTGTTACTTCGTGTAAGCCTTGGTTTGCAATTCAGGTTGTGTGTGTGTGTTACTGGATTGTGCCTCAGTTGAGTTCTCAGTCGGGCCTGTACTCTCTGCATTTGGTGTGAGTCGAGGGTGACGTCCACGGCGTATGAGGGACTTCGATCCGAAGTGGGAAGTCCAGTCTGGGTTCCCTACGCTAGTTACTGGCGGAAGGGCAGTAAAAGCCGGAGTGGGAGTCACTACCTGCAGAGCCTCTGAGTGAACCTTTGAGCTACTTTCCCCCTGAAATCCGAAGCGGAGGTCCTGACCGACCTCCGAGTTGTGCTTTTGCCAGTTTCAGGTGTGTGTGTGTGTGTTGAGTGACTACGCTGCACTGTGCATCCTCCGAGCATCCTCCGAGTCAAGCATCCTTCGAGTGACATCCGAGTCGAGCATCCTCCGAGTGGCCTCCGAGTCGAGCACTGCAGTATTTCTGGGAGTGACAGTCGCCTGAGAATTCAAACTCTACAAAAGTCTGTTAAATGTGACACTTTTTACTCTGTGTGTTGCCTCTGTCCCTGTGGGTTAGATCTTTTTACCACCATACTGCAGTTTTAGCCTTTGGTGGGTTATTACAACTGTGGAACTTGTATCCCAAATGATAATCTATGAAGGAAATACATTGTTTCAATGAATGCTGAAGAACTTGAATTGAATCAAGGCAATCGTGCTACTGAGCCCACCAATATTTTCCCCACACTAAAGGTTATAAGGATACACAGAATTTGTGAAGGAAAGTGAAATTTTTTGGTCTCGAAATTGTGTTGTTTTTTTGGTTTGTAATAGGCAGACAAGAATCTCCTAAAATGTGTGGCATTTTAAACATATGTCTTGTCTGATTTCTAAGTTTTGAATATGCCAATTCTCCAAAACAAAAAATTTCAACATACTCTTCGATTTATGCCGTCATAATGAACATTGAAATTTTATTAAACAATTTTTCATGAAAGACGTTTAATCTCAATTTATCATGGGCCATCTGTGAGAACGCCGATGTTCACTCAATCCAAGTAACAAGGGAGTGGAATGAAAACTCAAGCTCACCCTCTCTCAGTCCTGGCAAACCTGGAGATCTCACCAAGTCAGCTCCGGTTCTTCTAAATCAAAGAACACGTGCACGCAGATGCAGATGCGCTGGCCTTGATTTAGTGTTTGTTTCCTCGTCCGCTGCAGAGGATGTCACCAAACATGACAACTATAACGAAGAACTTACGCTTATCAGGATCATGAATTTCACATGAGCATGTCAGTACCTATTGTTAATTTTTTGTCAAGGCTCACCTCTGATGACATCCGTGGAATTATTACTTAACTGGGCCTAAGGGTACAACATGGCATCCTGGTAAAGAAGATCCCGAATCTGTATACATTCTAGATTTGTGGATTCATGCGTTTAATTCATGACCTGCTATCATCAGTTCCATGTGTTTCATCTCCGGAAGAGATGGAATAATTTGGAATGAACTGGACCGTCTTTCTTTCTTCCTTACTAGACGGAAATGTCCAATATTATGAGGTATATAAAGCTCCAAGGTCGTTCTCTGAGTTCATCCTCTCCCTCCGGCGCTTCACCTATCATTAGAGTCCGCTTTGGATAGGTGAAGCAGCGCTGGAGATAAGCATTGCTGCTGACATAGAGGTACGGTCAGCAGACATCTCTCAGAATGCTCAATTTCTTTCTTGCACATTCAGTTATGCATCTATGTTACAGGCTCACTAGTTTCCATGCCGTTGTTGTAATCGTAGTCTTCGTTAAAGTACTCAGCTCAAGGAAGTTCTCCTCTGCGTACGAGTATCACAGAAAGTTGAAGAGTAACTATGCTGCTCATGCTCGCTTACTACATGATTCTGATCATGACCTTCTGTTGAAAAGTTTCCTTCTTGTCATGTACTGTTGGAGATTTTGCGTTATCCTAAAATAAGGTTCACTTACAAGTTCATCGTCTCCTAAAAGTCGAGCAGGCAGAGCTGTTTGTGTGATCACGTCCTATTTCTCTGACTGATGTAATAGGTACGATAAAAACAAGAGGAAGGAAGCGCGGGCAGGGATCATGGCCCAGCTCAGAACGGGAATTATGATTGTGGCATTTCTGATTGTGCCCTTCTTGCAAACCTCCGAGGCCTTGGATTTTATCTTCTGGGATGGACCAACGTGCACCGGCTTCGTGCAATCCCTCTGCACCGCCATCAGCAACGACACTTGCTGCGTCGCAGATAATGCCTACCAGTCAGTGCAGGTCCAGGAAGGGGATCCATGCAAATCGGCCACCACCTTCAAAGACGGAGATTGTGCTGCCAATGTCACAGTTACCACAACCACTGGTAATGTATGCTTCGACAGCGGTGGATCCACTTACACCGCGGCTAGCTGGACGCCTCTGCCTTGCATTAATGGCACCCCAATCGTAGTTCCCATCAACACGAGCACAAACGGGACGACCGATAATGGGACATTCAATGGAAGCACGCCCACCGTTCGCCGGAGGGCTCTGTTGAGTACTCTTCGTGGGCAGGAGGCCATTCCAGAACGTGATTTCACCAGCCAAGCCCGACCGGATCACAATGTAATCTACTACCGAGAAGGTCCAACGATGGGGATCTGGAGCCTTTCCAGCGATGGTGCTAGTAAAGCGGAGCTTCTGGAGCAACTTTCGAGTGTGCCGGACGAGGACAAAGTGTCCTGGTTGTTTTCTCATGGCGCTACGTACGATGATGCAATGGAGGGAGAGTTGTTGGAGATTGTAGAGGCCTAATGGCGTCGACTTCATAGAAGTGTTACTGATCGATTGCTTCGGCTCAACCTGTAATTATAGACGAGGGGTTTATCATCTGATTTTTTTCCGGTCGAGGATTCCAGTAGATAATGAAAGTCGAGGTAGGGTGTGACATCTACCTCAATAGCCATGCAGGCCTGTGCGGTAGCACAACCATGCTACTGCACTTCACTTGGGAATAAGGTCAAATCATACATGAACTGAAAATGTATTTTGCCTAGTACATGAATGTGTCTTAAAGTGTAGCATCTGAAAATCAAATGCTTCAAATTGGAAACTTGTGGCAAAATATATGTTTGAAGAGATTTGAAATTGTCGCCAAACATCCACAAAAATTGTAGCAAAAGGGTGCATATTTTTATGGGAACAATAGAATTAAATGGAGTGATTTAAAGTACAAGGGGAGATAAAATAGGGTCATGTCAAAACTACGTTTGTTCTAAAGGAGCTGTAAATGTGTGGGTTTTATCTCAGGCCCAATGCTATTACTTGTACAAAATGTGTCGTAAAAAATTGAATTGAAACGACTGAGATGATACTTTTCTGCTGACAACGTAAAATAGTCTCAAGCAGATGAGGGAACATGGCATTTGGGTTTTGGAGTCTAATTCAGGAGAGCTACCAAAGCAGCTGCTACGGTTCCGAACATCAGAGCAGATCCGGATTGTAGAGTAAAGCCGCTGTTTCCAGGTGTATCACCGGCAGTTGGTGGCACTGCAGGTGCATCTGCAGACTGCTCGCTAACTGTATCGTCTGCAGCAACAACTTGCAAACTCATCTTCATGTTTCCGGGGCTGCAGTGGCTGGGAAGTGAGCAGATGTAGCCATGGTACCCAACGCTGTTGAGAATGACCTTCGCGTTGGAGACCTCCCACTTCTGGATGGTGGTTGCATTCGTGCAGCTTGCCACATCTGTCTCACTTACTTGGAAAACATCATGAGCCGGAAAGCTGTACACGAAATCTGCATTTTATGAAACCAGACATACGAGTAGCTCAGTGGACAATTCATGAAAGTAAGTTATGTCGCGCTCTGCAACGTGATAGTGCATCTATATTGAAGAGTAACACTGTGAAGGCACCATGTTCAGGTCTTTAAGCCGGAGGAGCTTTGATAAATTGCTGGTTTGATAAATGCAGCAAAGCCAGGTTATTGTTTTGAGCAGTAAGTTGAGTGGAAGTTGGGAAAGCTTACCGAGCTCATCTCCGACTCTGAAAGTGTGGGTTTTGGCCCAATCGTCGTAGAATGTTGCGCTCTCTACAAATGTCCAGCCAACAGCATCGCCCACGGTGTACGTTACAGCAGATGCAAATTGCATCATACCAGCAAGAAGCATAACTGTGATCAACTTTCCTTGAGCTCCCGCCATGCTCACGATGGAAGGCAACAAACTCTCCGTGTTAAAGTCGAATTCACGAATGTGATATGCACGACTCCAATCCCAGCTGTATTCTTCTCCCGAGTTTGAAAGTGCCAACAAGTGTCCAGAAAATCAGAGCCCAGATTCTGGTGTGTGATATTTCAGCCGACTACAAATGGATTTGAAAACCCCGAGTACTTTGCGTCTGCACCACGTTGAAAGGCAGAAGTGATGTGAAACTGGTGGGTGGATGCAAGCGCGGATTGCAGCTGAGGGAGGGAGATTGAGTTGTCTTCGATAGTCGATAGCGCTGCTCTTATAGCGCCCGTGCATGAGTTCGTCTGGGTTGTTTGAGAGACCCGCATTGACATTAATCTTGGAATGTCAAGGGTCGGAAGATGTTTCTGAATTGCGAGTCCGGTCAGTCTAGCGGCACATGGACTCAGTCCGAACGCTTTCAATTTGAGGCATGCCCCTGCTTTCAACCGAATCGGTGGACCCCGCAGAGACTTCTGGTTGTCCGGACCCGCGAGTCAAAGTTCTCAAACAGAGTAGACACTTTTTCCTGACAACTTTCCGACGTCCAAAAGATGAGGACTCTGTGTTTTCAACCCAGCGGGAAAACATAACATCTTCACTGAAGGTGATCTTCGAAAGATCTATGGACGGCCGTGACGAGGACTACTGGAAACAACTTTACATTTGTAGGACGGACATGCCATTGACTTTGATGCCTCGTTTCAACAGAATCCTTTACTTGATTCCGTCGACCGAATTTGTCGCCCATGAGAGAAGTAAAACTTGGTTGTTGGGGTTTGGACTCTAATTGTGGCGAGCTACCAAAGCAGCTGCTACTAAACCCAGAGCAGAGCCAGATTGACAGGTGACATCGTTGTTCGCTGCCGTCCGGAGACACATGCGGACTTCAAACCGAGTGTGGATTTTTCCGCAGACGTCAGCCCGGTCAACCCTCAGCAACGTGCGTCGATGTGGTCCGCGTCTGGAGAGTAACTTTGACGAGCAGCTGCAATGTTGCAGACAAAGGTTTCAGTTTACCACGTTGAGCACGAAACACACTGCAACATTAACCATTGCGTGACATAAAGACGCTTGCATACAGTTTCCAGCGACTCGGGGTGGAGTCATCACGAGTCCTATTCTCCGAAGCGCTTCAGAAGCTTTTCAACTTTCAACACAATTTCGGCAACAGGAATTCAGTTTGCGGCACCGGCAATGGGACTGGAATCTTTGAAAATTCGGGCATCCAGCCAAAGATATCATCTCATTGAGCATCCTGGTGATGAAGAACGGAGTCTTCAGTACATCAGCTGTCAACATCGATTGATTTCAGTACGTGAAAGTACGTCCGTACAAGTCCAGATGCTCAGTCCAGGTTCCATTTCTTGTTCTATTCCTGAACAGGAGATTTAAAAAAGAGGACTTGTGTTTTTCTTTCTGACGTCACCACTTTGACGGACTTTTCGTTGAGCATGTTCTCTTCATAATCATCAATGAACAAGGTCCACACATTCTCTCGGCTCGTCTCAAACCTGCAGCGGAAATTTCTGTTTGGATGGTCTCGAGGATGATGGGCACCAATCATCTTTGTATGCTCGTCAAGTGTTTCTTGGACTAGCAGTTTCCTATTCCAAGAATGGGTAAGACAGCCCACAATTTCATTTCATGAGACCTAAATGGCCAAAATTGAAATATCTAACGTGAGAACTGAAATCTTATGGTCTCTGCAATGTGAAACACATATTGTGAAGTAAATGATATTTTAACCTGTGTTATTTGTAATTTTTAGGAAGCATTAATTCAACTTGGCCATGAGATTTTCACTTTTTACGATGAAACACACTTACTGTACCTATGTTGATAACAATAATATAATGATTTTGGAACAATGAAAGTTCCTCTAGTTATCGGCTTGATATCCCAGACTTGATCAATGTCAAGTTTAGAATGACTAAGATTCAATAAAAATTTAATATACGTATCGGTATTAGGTGAGCTATATATTAAGACCCCGATTCAACAATGACAATACATCTTGAACATTGCTTCACAAAATTTTGTATGTATTATTTTGGATTCTCAAATATTAATAAATAGACATTTAAGATATTCTTTAAATGAGATTGCTACGAATATAATACTTGCATATATTCAAATATGATAATTTTATATTGATTCGATAAAAAAACTCATGAGTTTAAATACAAATGAAATGAGAAAATGCCCACAAATTCTTGAAAAATATTCGTGATATGAAAAAATACCTAAGGATATGAAAAAATTATTTTCGTGCTTCGAAACTACCACACATATACACGTGACAGTTCTGAGCATGCTGGCGATTATAAATGTGCTGAGAACCCCGCTATGAAAAAGTATGTTATCACTATGTCGCACGAAGAATACGTAACGAAAAACTCTGATAACACCTCAACAATATATCACAGGAGGGAAAGTTGCACAGGCTTTGTTTTACCGGTAATATGCATTCGAACTGGAGTTGGCCTCCTAAGAAAATTTTTGAAATCTTCTGATCATACAAAGAAGCGCCAGATTCACATGAGCTGCGTATGTCTGAGCTTCACCGGTAAGATGCATTCGAACTGGAGTTGGCCTCCTAAGAAAATTTTTGAAATCTTCTGATCATACAAAGAAGCGCCAGATTCACATGAGCTGCGTATGTCTGAGCTTCAGAGATATTGTGCATGAATTCTTGGAAAAGCATTCTCTTCAGACTATATTGCTCTCTTGTTTAAACACGTATACTACTTGAAAATGATAACACATCTTAATTTTTAATTTCGGTCCATCGTACATTTGTTGGACTTTCATCGTGGGACATGAGAATCAGTCAGGTATATGTGTGGAAGTTCAACATGACCACCCTCTCGTGTCAAGGGAAGAGTTTTCATCGTAGTGAGACAATATGAACATTCTACCCTCAAAAAGTCATCTTCATAGTTTAGCCAAACATTGATCTTCTTCAGAAACATAACTGTGCGATTGACATGATGGCAAAGATTATAGAAGACTTCTTCCTCTGAAAACTGCAAGGAAGAATTTGCAGAGTTGTATATTGCATGAGGGTCTAAACATATGCTTGTCAATTGCATAGTGGCATTCCTACCTCTTCAAAATCCTAACATGTCAAAATTCCACAATCACGGCCTTTCTTCATGCACCTCTCGCACACCCATGCATGCCCACCTTTTTCTAAACTCAGGTATTTCACTTGATACAACTTGAAGATTTCGGAATAGCGATTTTGAAGCTGAGGCGCAAGAATTTGCTGAATCCTCAACCATGCTTCTTGCAGCTCCTTGCTTTCCCCACCTTTTAGAACTGCCCTGCGATCTTCACTGCTAATACCATCCAGTTTAACTATATCCGATTCCAAATCTGCCCAGGCCGGAATCGCTTCACCCAACCCAAAGAACTTAGTCAGTGCAGCCTTTGCACCATAATATATGACTTTGTATGAAATTTCAATAGTTCTCCGAATCCATTTGCAATTTTTCAAATCCAATCGCAGCTTCAACCCTTCTTGATCTTTGATAGTGTGAAATCCAGTCACCGACTCACACATCAAGTGTAATCGAACAGTTGTCCCGACATGCAGACCTGCATTCAACCTATAGAAAAGTCCCACATCGTCCGTAACGTAAGGTCGTTTGGGCGTTTTCCCCTGCTGAAACGCTTCTGAATAGCCAATGATCCTGTCCACCTTAGACATGAAGACACTCAATGTGGACTGCAATTCTTGTTGCACAGAGAGTATGTGTTCTATTTTCATGTCCACTCTTTGCATGATGCTATGCACTTCTCTCAACCTCTCATCCAAATCATCAACCTTTCTATGCAAAGCATCAACCTTTTCTTCTAGCTGGCCGAACTTAGACAAAAGAAGTCGGGTCGAACGATTCTCCGCACTTGTGCTAGCCCGACTCAAGCACCTGGATGCGAGTGGTTTGCGGCCTTTCATTGGTGTGACATTGGAGCCGCCAACCATGTTTTTAGCTTCAGGATAACACTGAGCCAAATCATTGTCCACGCTAATTAGACCCTCCTGCAATGACTCCAATTGTTGAATTCGATTCTGTCGAATCTCATTCACAACTGCTTCCACATCTCTTTCCCACAACAAATCCCTTGCTCGTTCAGATCTCTCGCTGGTGTAACTTTCAATCGGAGGCCAACAGTGCTCATAGTGGAACAACTCTTCCTTCTCCATCAAGTACGACCTTTCCAACGGCATTTCCTCAAGTTTGTCATTGATGCTACGAATGAAGTCCGATTTTAGCTTCTCGATCAGAATGGCTCCTCTAAGATGACTTGGAATCAGCATCTTCACGCAAATTGTTTGGATCACACCAAGTACTAACGCCACCCCGGGACAGCCTTTCGGTGATGCGCAAAATGATATCAACTCATGGACGATATGCTTCCTCACATATTTAATAGCCACCTCCCTTGACTTCTGACTTGAGCATAACATCAGAACATCTACGTATTTGTGTGACTTTTCACTCTGAATGTGCTCGATATATATCTGATGCCCGTCAAGAAAAAGTCGCAGGTAATGTCGGGAGCAGATAACATTCTCCTCGGAAACACCCATCTCGGATATCAACTTGCGTCTCATGAACATCTACAATCATAGAAAACTTGGTAAATATTGAGTTGGACATTTGAATAATTACAATTACTAAAAAGGGGGGCATTCTATTCATTATACGCAAATTACAAACAGAATTTGACACATACAATGTTTTCACAGTGACTATGAAATCATGATTGAACCTCACCTGAAAGCGTGGAAAAAAAGCAGCAGTCAATGACATTGTTGTTGCATCTTGGCATTGAATCCGAATGCCGAAAAACTGTGAAGTCTCCATAGTATTTGCCCAAATCATCCACTTCACGTGCGCTAGTTCTTGATCATTATGTTCCTCCTTGCTTGCATGCTCAGGGATGAAGGAGGGAATGAAATATTGAGATGTATCTTTGAGCTGGAAACACAAATCTAAATGGACAAGGATGTTTTCAAGCTCCTCTCTGGTCACACCTCTCTGTACATTTAGTTGGTTTCCCAGAAACTCTTCTATCAACCGAGCAAAAACAGTCTCACTCACAAATCCGTCCTTGCTTGCGTATGAGCTCGTTCTATTAGAAGATTCTAACTCTATAGCTTGAAAGTTTTGACCCAGAGCTATCAACTCACCCAAGAAGGTATTTGTGAGCCAGTTGGGATCGACAATGATGTAATCAAGGTTGGGAATGTATATGATGGATCCAACGTCATTCAAATAGGATATGATAGACTCTATTATCCTTGAATGATCAATTGAGTGAGCAGAAGATGATGGAATAAATTTTTTCAAGCTGGAAACAGAGAAATCATGAAATGTTTTCGAGGACCACAGAGGGGAACTTTTGTTCTTCTTGGTTTTTGTAACCAAGAGTGAGATGAGTTGAGAACACAATGGAGGAACCTGTGGGGATTTCTCTCTCAATAACTTGTTAAAACTCTCAAAAATGTGACTGTTGAGAGGAAAAATTTGCTTTTTTTCCCGAGCATCCACATGAAAACACTCTTGAATAGGGCGAAGATCCACAAAATTTGCGAATCTTTGGGTGAGTTTTTCAACTATCGACTTAGTCCAACTCATAGAGCTATATATGGCTTTATCCTTGTGTGAAATGACAATAAAAACTTGGGGAAGATCACGTCCCGTGACCCTAATGCTAGATGTGATAAAACTCAACCAATCCTCCAACTCAGTTTCAAAACAAGAATCTGGTTTCTTTGAACATGTTTCCTCACAGAAGGGACTATAGACAAAAA